AGCTTAAATAATAAATGCAGTGCCCTTTGTTGCTTGCAGTATCTCCAGTGACCTCTTACAAAATGAAGCTGACCAACTTCACACTTTAAATTGAAACCAATCCTGTACAATAAAATATTTATATTTGTCAATAAAAAAGGAATCATTAGCATCACACAGCAGGAACCTTCCTGTCGCAAGTTAGATGAGGAAGGGGGGGAAATTCAAGTACATAACTCTAGGCATGCATTGTTGCTTTTTTTGTCAATGATTAGGTGTCATAAATTAAATCTTCTCTTTAGATGCCTGTGTTTTGGTTCTTCTTTGACTTCCACTGGGAGTGGTGGAGGCCGACTTCCAGGATGCTTTTTCAGGTAGGAGATAGGAAAGGCAAGTTCTTCCCATTCCTCCTTCTGGCTGTTGTTCATGGAAGACCTCCCCAAATCTTCTCTGGTAGAGGGATAGTGCAAAGGAAGTGGAAATAAGCAAAGGTTTTCTAAGGCCCTCCTAGACACTCTTGTATTTAGCTGCCCACCTTGTCCCTATGTACCATAAGGGAAGGGATCATTCCAAAACCTCTCCTGTTGACATCTATGGACCTCAAAACATGCATAGCTATGAAGTTGAAAATATAATTTATTTATTTTTTTGCTTCTCTTTCCAATCTCTGTAGATTTTGTTGATCCTGTTAGCATTGACACAGTGTTTGAAGTGCCAAATAGATAAGGCAGCCCTGAAATCCCCTCCCTCCCAAACTTTGAAAAAATACTGTTGGGAGAGGACAACTCCCACCATGCTGTTGTTGTTGTTTATTCGTTCCAGTCGCTTCCGACTCTTTGTGACCTCATGGACCAGCCCACCATTCTAATTTAGCAAAGCCACTGGCTATGTTGGTTGGAAAATTCTGGAAGCTAACATCTAAATAAGTAATTTCCCCATTCTTTGCTCCCCTCCCTAGCCCATAATTTCATGAGTGGGAATGGAGAGAGCCATTTTATTGACAGGAGGAAATGTAGGGTCATTGACAAAGTGTATGTATATTTAGCAGGTGAAAAGTGTATACCCTTTAAAACATCACCAGAAAAAAGAAGAAGAAAACCAAATCCATTCCCCAATTATCTGGATTTTGCTTATGACCTCACCAGATGGATGGTTTCCCCCCTCTCAGCCTGCTTCTGGCATGCTGCTGAGGTGGAGTCCACCAAAGCCCATCAAATAATGCAAGACTACTTCCGGTGGGGCTCCGGTGGGCTCTGTGCCAGCAGCGTGCTGAGAAGGAACACTGATGAGTTGGATTACTATCCACCTCCTAATTGAAGAAGCCGAGGACAGCAAAGAAACGTTGTGGGATAGCAGCCATGACAAACAACAGTAAGGAGATGAAGCTCGGCACTGTCCCATGGTTTCCCACACTGTCCTCCACTGTCACCAGGCTTCTGGACCTCCATGCGATGAGGTCCTTAGACAAACTTGTCTCTATGGGGATCATTCTCTGTCTCCATATACAAACCTGAGCAAAACCTTATTAGAGTCATTGACAAGTTTGTACTGGTTACTGATGAAGGGAATCTCTGTGCAAGTCTCTTTTTACAACCACGTTTTAACACATCAGTGCAAAACAATATTTTAACTCAGGAATAAGCAAATAATTCATTACATCAGAAATGTCAATGACTCTAATAAAGTTTTGCTCAGGTTTGTATATTTAAGCAATCTATTGAATCAGGGCTAGGGAATAATTCATCCTCCAGACACTTCTAGTATTCAACTCACTTTGCCCCTTTTCATTTATTATGTGCTTTGAGCTTATGGAAGTTGCAACCCAACAACATCAGGAGGGCCTCACAATTCCTATCTATGTATTTAATCATTATGTACAGTCTTGCATAAGGATCCCATTCATCACCGTTGATCCTTTCACTGCTTATATTGTGGTACATCCAATTCATTCCCCAGATGAGCCTGAACAATGCTTTTATTTTTGTCCTCTTAGTTAAACAAGGTGAGCTAATGGTTTTGTTGCTGCTCCCTGTCATTAATGTTTTATGTATTGTTGTGGAAGAAAAGATGGTATGGATGACCCAGAATGAATTACCTTACTCATTATGTTTCATTATTCAAATACCAGCCAGAATCCTATTGCATCAACATCATAGTTATGATAAAAAGGTAAAGGTTTCCCTTTGATATTAAGTTGAGTCAAGTCCGATCCTTAACGGTGGAGCTCATCTCCATTTCTAAGCTGAAGAGCTGGCATTGTCAGTAGACATCTCCAAGGTCATGTGGTCAGCATTACTCCATGGAGCGCCGTTATCTTCCCACTGAAGTAGTACCTATTGATCTACTGACATTTGCATGTTTTCAAACTGCTAGGTTGGCAATAGCTGGGGCTAACAACAGGAGCTCACCCCATCTGGGGATTTGAACCACCGACCTTCTGATCAGCAAAGGAAAGATGACCAGGCCAATTAGATTTGATGCGGATGTCTAGGACGGTTTTAAATGGTGTATTTTAATATTTTGATAAGTTTTTTTAATGTTTATGTATTGTATGTGAATTTGTGTCTCTGCATTGAATGTTTGCCATGTATATGCTGTGCTCCGGCCCGAGTCCCCTTTGGGGTGAGAAGGGCGGAATATAAATGTTTTAAATAAATAAATAAGTTCTACAGCTTAGTGGCTTAACCAGCTGTGCCACCCGTCTTCCCATGCCCTGCATCGCCCAGCTTCCCCCTCACCCTATCCCATGGGGGGAAATGTCTGCCACCTGGCTTCCCCTCATTTTTGCCTATGCAACACAGGAAATTTCACATGTTCCCACTTCACTCATGTTATAGAGCCCAACCAGAAATAGAACGACATCATGGGATGGGAGCCGGTGGGCTCCATGTGGCAAGTTAAGTGGGGGCATCACTCAACTGGCAACTTTGCCTGTCCGATGAGACCATAGGTCAGTGGAGTCAGACTTGTGGCCTTCCAGGTGTTTTGGACTTCAGCTACCAGAATTATTGGCCATTGGACAAGCTGGCTAGGGCTTCTGGAAGTTGAAGCCCAAACATCTGTAGGGTCACAAGTTTGACAACATGCTTTAGGTTATGTATTCATAACTGACCAATAATAATATATTGGTCAGAATGGCTAGTAGGCCAGAAGGGCTAGTAGTTCTGATGTACAACTGTTTCTTGGGGTGGGGGATGTGGTGGGAAACCATACATTTAAAAATCTTAAGATAAAACATTCCTGAATATAAAATAATTGTGTTATTCTTCTCAGGTTATGATTCCTATCTCTGTTATGATGGATGAAATGAAAACGTTAATGTGATTTATAGCCATGTGACTGTGAAAAGTTTAGAAATTGGGTGCTGAATGTTGAAGGGAAGCTTGAATGAAAGCCAAATTTTAAAAAATGTGTCCTTCCATGGTTGCATGTAAATGTTTTGGCTGTTACATTATACAAGTGGTTGTTTTGGGAGGGAAAAGGAATGTCTAGAGTGTCGGGCCACTGAATGGTGACTCACTGAGAGACAGACTGGGAGGCAATGGAAATTATGTGAGAGGTAGAGATGAGAGCTAAAGAGTGTTAGGTCAGCATTGATTTGTTATCTTGCAATATAATATGAGAGTAGAATTAATGCAGAAATGGCTAGTTGGGCAGGAGAGGTTGCCTAGGGCCCGATATTGGGAGAAATGCAGGATATAAATTAAATAAATATATGAATATGCAAACTTTCTACTAACAGAAAAGAGAGAGCAACAGAGCTGTTTTGAAACCACATGATTTTAACACAAAATGGATATGTCTGTTTCAGAGAATACATTTGTTAGACATTTTTTAAGATTGCGGGGTTCCACATACAAGCACCTTTTCATTGGTTGCATTTGTTTAATCAGATTTGCCACATTGGTCATGGCAACAAATCCTAAAAAGAGATGAATCCAGGGTACAGGAACCCAAATCAGGGCTAGGAGTTTTAAAAACCGTAAGTATCATAGGAATGGTGAGGCTTATCTCAACATCTGAGTCAAATAACTATACAAAAGGAATATAGAAGGGCATTCCTGAATTGAAGTGTTGTACTGTCTAGTAAAAAATAGAATTACAAAGCCATGTTCTCATCTCTGTTAACAGTGGGGAATTGGTGGGGAAGAGGGCGTCACAGACATCCTCTTCATATATCACATGCAGCTTTTGTTTTGTTACTCCCTAATAAGAGGAGGGGACCACTCTTGGTTGGAATTCAGTGTGATCAGAACAGGGTTCACATGTGGATTTTTCATCTAAGTGTTCTCACCATGAAGGAGACGTTTCATTCAGATTGCCCTAGGGACTAAAGAGAAATGTCTCTCCTTCATTCATGCTGCATTTCAGAGAAAAACTTTTCCTTACCTGTAACTAATTAGGTGGGAAATAAGATATGTAGCTGTATTAATTGGTCTCGAGAGAGAGAAAGAGAGCATCTAGTTTGGCCCAGAAAAAAGGCTTCATACAGAAATACACATCCTCATTAAATATTCTGTAGAATGAAAGCTATCTTTCAAGAAACATTGAATATCTTCAGATGTCTTTTATGTATATCCTATTGTAATCCTTACAAGAAGCTTGTAAGAATCACAGTTACTATATATCCCACTTTCCAAATTGTATGTGAGAACCTGAAGCAACGAGAGGAGACCCTGATGGAGACCACCTACTGAGGTTGTGGAAGGTGTGAGATTAGACATTGGGATTTGTTGAATCCTAATTCAAGCTCTTAAAGTGCATTTGCACTGTAGAATTAATACAGTTTGGTATCATAGTGCCGCAGTGCAATGAAACAGAATAATAGAAGTTGTACTTTTACAAGGTCTTTAGCTTTCTTTGCTAAAGAGTGCTGGCCTTACCAAACTCCAAATTCCAAGATCACATAGCACAGAGCCATGGACAATAGAGTGGTGTCAATTTGCATTAATTCTACCACTGTAAATGCACCCTTAGTCATTTAAAACTAAACCATCTGCAAACCTTTTACTTAGCTCATGCTAGATAAAATACTCAAAAAATTTATTCCTTTCTACATCCATTTCTTCTGTTTCCATCTCGTACTGTTTCATGGCAACAAAATATCGGACAAAGTTGTCACCCAGGGCTTCCCTGATACACTCATCTTCCTGAAGTGCAATGAGAGCGTCTTCCATCTTTAGAGGAATGGTTGCTGGTTTCAAAGAAGCAGAGCCCTCAGTTTCTTCTGAACCCTCTTGGAAGCTGAGCCTTCTCCTAATGCCATCCAGGCCTGCTGCAATGGTAGCTGACAACACCAAATAGGGATTTGCTGTTGCTGAGCCAAGCTTGTTTTCTATTCGAGGTCCTCTTTCCCCATGACTTTTGAGATTAAACGCACAGCTGTTATCATTACATGCCCATTTGACAACAACAGTGTCCTTTGAATCTTTGCTATATGCATAGTAGCGTTTACGACAACTAGTGGTTGGAGCCATCAGGCAACTGAGAGCTGCTGCATGCACCAGTAGTCCAGCAAACCAGCTCTTTCCTATGTCAGTGAACTCTGGACTTCCAGGACCAATAGAAAACAAATTATCCTGCCCATTGTTGTCCCAAAGACTATGAGAGAAGATGCCTGAGTTGCAAAATCCATTCTCGGTGAAAAAGGTGGCAATGTAGTTATACTTTTTGGCCACTTCCTTGATGCCTGTTCGGAAAGTGAAGGCATTGTCAGCTGACCCAATGCCAAACTCTGGGTAGAGGGAGATCTCCATTTGCCCTGGTCCTGTAGAAGAGGAGAAGCTCTCAATGTTTGCCCCAGCATGATACATTCCATCAATGAGGTCTTGGATGAAACACTGGTCGTGGTTAGTTAGGATGGTTGCAGCAGGAAAAGATATTGTCTTCGAATTTACAATTTCGGCAATGCCATAAATACAGAACTCATAAGTGAAGCTGGAATACAAAGCAAACCCACTGTCTCGGAGCTGCATCAGCTGTCGTTTGGCAATGTGCCTGGGTGAAGTCAATAGAGGGTTGCCCATTACAGTAAAGGAATCACATATCACCCTTGCAGTTGCTTCAGCCCATGGTAAAGCCCGAAAAGTTGATAAATCAGGACTCAGGATTATGTCACAGTTGAAATTGCTTGCAGTTATCTGTTTTATTTCACTAATCATAGGATTCAGGGTCAGCTCGAGATAACCTCTGGGCATGGAGACACCATGGATTGCTTTGGTCTATAGAAAGGGAGGAAGAGCAGTCGGTTGTGTTTTAGACAATAGAACATTGCAGATAATGTAATATTTCATCCATGATGGTTTAAATGCTTTTGTGAGTTCACATTCTAAGGAAGACTTCAAAAGAGAGATGGCAGCAATATTCCCCATTTAGAAAAGTTGCACATTGTACTTTGTGGATCTGAATGTTCCTTCAAAGTTACCATTTGTCCTATGACAGCAATAACATCCATTTTTTAACAAACACACATACATTCATAGAAGCATTCAACAAATGAGGAAGTGCTGTGGTCAGGGAGTCAAAAAGCATGTAATCTCATTTTCTAGATTTCAGTTCATTGCTTTGAATGCTTCAGTAAACACCCAGTATTGAACAACCACAGTATACACACTGGATTGCATCTGATTTTTCAATATTAAATAGACTGGACTAGTTAATACTTCTCAGAAAAATCTCCAAGGATTCAAGGTTGGGCTAAGAAAGATTCCGCCTGAAACCATAATGTTTCAAGATCTGTTTCAGATGGCATGGCTTATATTCATCTTATCATCCATCCAAAAGCATCCAAAAGCATGTGATGTACAGTGAGAACAGACAATATCATGAACTACAGCTAGAGGGAAGACATCTTTCAAAATACAGCTATTCTTACATACACCTCAACTGTCCCTTTTTCATCCCATGTTTTCAGCTGCTTTTAAAATGTCCCAGTTTCTCTCTTCTCTTTTGTTTTACTTTCAAGTCTAGAAATGTGGGAATTGGCTTGAAATAGCACCTGAACTTCCAATGGATGATCACAGCCCTGGACCACATTACCTGTGTTGCTGAATAGCTTTCATTATAAAACTGATTGCTTAAATCCTAGTTCCCTAACTCAGGAGTTCATCCTTCAGCCTTCTAAATTGCTTTTATGTAGTTTACTTAATTGTCACAAATCAACTTATTTATCAAAATCTGTGTCCTACTTTTCCACTTACTAGGATTTTATTCCCAATCTTCCATTCATGATGTCAGAAGGTGCTAACAACCACATGATTTATCTTTCAATACAGTCTTCATTTCAAAATGCAGATCAGTTGGAGAAATCTAAGCTAGGCGCCCCTCACTTTAAAGGAACAACAGGAAACAAAATGGTGATATTACTCCGCAATCTTCCATGAGCATTAAACTCCTTTGAAAAGATCTTATTTCTATCCTAAGGGGCATCAGTCTAAGAAAATGGACTTAAGACTTGGAGGTAAAAACAATAGCAACAATCCTGCAGTAAAATGTGTAAGAAAAAAAGACTATTTGATTTCAAAGGAACTTCAACATAAAAGCCAAAAAATTACATTTACAGCCATCTTACCATATGTTTCACAATGATCAAAAACGGAAACCTGAAATATTCATGACAAGATTAAAACTGGAGTGTAATATATAAATCGACCATGCTGAGCAACATATAAAAAGGCTCTTTGAGGTCACTACTTTCTCTACCCAAAACTCCAACATCTTAGTCTCATTGGGTTATTGTGAGTTTTCTGGGCTGTATGGCCATGTTCCACAAGTGTTCTCTCCTGACATTTCGCCTGCATCTATGGCAGGCATACTAAGAGGTCTTAGTCTCATTCATTGGATCACCAGCTTGGCCAATTTTATTATTAAGCCATCGTGCAATCACTTTAGTTTCTTTTGTTATTGGCTCTTTGTATTCTTTTGTAATTTGCAGGTGTCAAATAAAACAACATCTGTGTGGATGGAGTCAAAGTAAAAAAATAATATATCTGCCGAAGGAGATTCTTGGATATGCTAAAAAAAAACCCAGTCTTGAGTGGTTAATTATTTTTGCAATTGCGCAAAGGCTGTAGAATGACTATTTTGTGGGAGGCTGGTTAAATAAGCTAAAATCCTTACAGGGACTTGAAAAATGAAAGAAGAAATCTTTGTGGTAAACTTTAAGTGAATTGCATGTGACAAAGGCTTGTGTAGTGTATTGCTTGTGTAGAATCAAGAAACGCAGAAGTCTTGCAAAAGATACAAACAACATACCCGGAAAAAGCGAGAAGGGATGCTCTTTGATCTTGACACTCCATGAAGGTCTGTTGCTTCAAACCTGACAACATGAATGTCGTCTCTGGCCATCTGTTCTTTGATGTGCTCAATTTCAGAGATCAACTGAAGAGGAATACGATTGCCAACGCTCTTTACATCAGGTTCTTTGCTCTGTTCTTCTAAAAAAATGGAAAGGCAATCTTTTTCAGTCAAAGTTAAAAGTCACCAGTGTTTCCATACCTTCTCTGCGCAGCAATGGGGATGTAATTATTCAGTAATTGCCTTTTCGAATGAAGCAACAGGAAATGTCAGCTATTTTCCTTCCACAACTAGAAAAGTCTTTGAAAACTGCCTATTTGCAATTCTGGAATTATTCTATGAAAAAAAGATACATGGTTTGTTTGTACAGAAATCACTGTGATGTTCAGGAAGCATTTTCTGTGCAGAAAATAATATTTCTACACAAAAATATTCTTTCCTGTGTAGAAAATGGGGTTTCCTGCAAATCAACTACATCCATGCATAAAGGGTAGTTCTGTACTGTAGTATTAATGCATTTTGACAGTGTTTTAACTGCCATAGATCAATGACACAGAATGCTGGGATTTGTAGTTTGTTGAGGCACCTGTACCCTTTGGCAGAAAAAACAATAGAACTTGAAAAAATTAAAAAAAATAGTTCTACAGCTTTAAGGGTAATTAAGATAATCTTTCATCAAGCATTTGCAGAGATGTAAAGCTGTCCTCACACAACTGATCCCTCATCGAGAGTTGCTAGCAGAGGTGTAAAGAAGGGAAGGGCAATGCTTTTTATTTCATTAATTGCCATCAATTTAGTTTTAACTAATGTCAGCTTTCCACATGAGAAACACTCCTCCACCCCCCACCCTCACACACACATAAGATAGCCTGTTATCAATAGCCTTGTTTGGGTCTTGCATTTTTAGGTCTTGGTTTCCTTAACTGAGTCTATCTACCTGTAATAGGACTTTCCTCTTTTCCCACTGCCTTCTATGTTACCAAGCTTTACTCTGGCCAAAACACATTTTGATACCTCAGATATTAGCCCAGTTTCTGGGTATATTTGGCCTGCTGATTCCAAAAATGGCACCAGTTTTCCCCTGTCAGCTCTAGTTTTTCAGTTACAGAACATATGCCACATTCCATCTGCTCGCCTATAGAAAATTATTTATCATTTATTTTTATTTACAGTATTTATATTCCGCCCTTCTCACCCCGCAGGGGACTCAGGGCGGATTACAGTGTCCACATATATGGCAAACATTCAATGCCGATTTGACATACAACATATACAGACATACACAGAGGCTATTTAACTTTTTCTGGCCACCAGGGGAGGTGTCGCTTTCATCGTCCATCTGTGACACTAATGAAGTACTTCCGCATTCCCCGCATGCTTTTGCTGGAGTGCTTTGCTGGAGTCTTTTTTATGGCCTCATAAATTAGTTAATTTAGCCTCCCCACACTTTAAGGTGGTACCTAATTTTCCTACTTGACAGATGCAACTGTCTTTCGGGTTGCAAAGGTCGACAACAGGCTACACAATTGGTTGGAAGCCCACTCCAACCCAGGCTGGCTTCGAACTCATGACCTTTTGGACCTTTTGGTCAGAGTGATCTTAATGCAGCTGACACTCAGCCAGCTGCGCCACAATCCTGTTGCTATGATAACCATATCTAAGAAACCAGATCTGATGTGGTCTATCCAGTGCAATTTTCTGAATCAGCAGCCCAAATAATCCCAAGAAAAAAGCCTAAAATCCAAGACACCAAGATTTTTTTTTTGATTGGGCTGTGTATCATCTCATGTCCAAAGTACAATATCTTCCGTGTAGTCATTTTAGCTTCTAGCATAAGTCTTATTTCTTTTTTTAAAAACTACTTCTTTAGATTGATGCACTGAAGTTGTTAAAAAAGCAAGTGGTAATCCAGATTAATCCATCATGTGATAACCTTAAAATCTAGTTTATTAACTTAATCCAAACCAATAATTTCATTCAATTGTTAATTATTTCTCAGAATCCCAATTAACAGAGATGCACTGGCATCCATAACACCTTTGAGTTGCTTCATTGAGCTATAGGCATGTATTCTCTGCTTCCTCTTCATTTCTTTCACAGTGGTTTTGAATTCAAGCCCTCCCATAGGAATAATTGCTGTAAGCATTAGGGTTGCAGAGAAACATTTTTTACTATACAAAACATTATCATCTCCAAATCTAGGGGGGCGGGTGGGTGAGTCAACAAACCTAAATGCTTTTCAAAGCTTTTGACTCAGTGGGAATCTCTGTCTGAGGGCAATAATAAATGTCGTGTTTGTGTTATGTGCATAATTATTTTGTGATGTAAATAGTAGTATGAGGGGATAGAAACCATGTTGTCCCAGAGAATGTTTCATGTCCCACTGAAAATGTAAAATAAGTGGCACTGACAAAAATTCACCTAAACCTCTTCCTGCAACCCACAAAAACATGCTATTTATGACAGGACCCAATTAACATCATGTCTCCTTTGGTCCTTACATCCACTTGAAAGGAAGAAATGTTCTAACTTTAGTGAACAACACCATTTAATTTTTAAATGAGACCTGGGCACTTATAACTGGTAACTTTCCAGTTTACCAAGTTCATAGTAAAGAAAATGTAAGTGGAACAGGGACAGACTTCAGAAGGTTCACGGTCCAGTTCTCCCCTTTGTTGTGGACTACAGCCAAACTCACCACCCCACTACTGAAATCTGGCAGCATTGAATTTCAGTGACAAATTGAAATTTGTCACAAAACACCATTTACGTAATCACCAGCCACCTTTAAACCAACATTTGCTGCTTTCTGCAATTTACTCCAGTTGTTTGTTGCCCACATTTGGTGGCACTCTTTTTGGGAAGCCTTGGGGAGCTGCAACATTGGCATTGAGGCCCACATGTATCTTGTGAGCCACCTTACCAACTCCAGAAGCAGAAGAACTGACTCATTTTTTAAAAAAATTAATAACATCTTCCCCCTGTTACTCCCTACTTACAAAGTACATTATGGCATATGTATAAGGAAAGCAACCAGTTTTTATGCTTATGATCAATGAGCACCATTTTAGTATATGGAAACTGTCTAATCTTAATACCATTCTGCCCCATTATGTTCACCACATTATGCAAAATGTTCTTCCTCCATGCAAATTGCATTACCTATACTGAGCCCATTATTTCATAGTACAGGCTGTAGGGCGTCACGTAAACAGCAGATACTTCTATATGGTATATAACAGCCATCACTACCATTGTCTGCAATGATGTTTGGTTTACCACTGCTACTTTATAATGAGTTTGCTTTGCTGCTTGATTTACTGAACAATAGATTTAATGTTTTCTTATTGCCTTATGGTGATTTTTCTGCCCTCGTTCCTTCTGCCCCATGTATGGATCTAATAAACAGAGAAAGAAACACATAAATCAGTTTTATCAATGGTGTTTTTTTGAACAAACAGCTCCCTATCTCTTAAAGAAGCAGTGGTGAATGTGGGCTACCAGATGTTGTTGGATTACTATGCTATGCTATTTGTCGTATGTCTTCAAGTCATTTCTGATTTATGGCAACTTTAAGGCATCCTTATAATGGGTTTTTCTTAGAAAGATTTGTTTGGGGAGGTTGCCATTGCCTTCCTCTGAGTGTGAGAGAATGTGACCTTCGTAAGGTCACTCAATGGATACTATGGCCTACAGAGGCTCAGAACCTAGTCTAATGGATTCCTAATCCATCACTTGAACTATTGCATCACATAATCATAAGGTGGATGGGATATGGTGGGTCCACATCTCCCAATAGAAGAATATTGAAGATGGAGACTTAACAAACTTACCAACTGTGACATCAATTCTAGGTCCTGGAACACTGTCTGCATTTGGGAAAGATGTCTGGTGTTTCTTATTAGGATCCTTCAGATCATGAGTCTGAGATTGATGCTCATCCATCCCAGCAGAGATATAAACCAATGGTGTCCTACTTTCTTGCTCTCCTCCATGTCTGTGAATAGGAGGGACTTTCTGGTCACCTCCCCTTAAACGTGGATGAAACATTTCCATACACTGGCCTTGCTTATCAGTAGACTTCATCAGAGGTGTATGGAAAGAGGTCCCACTGACTTTCCTACTGTTTCTGGCCCTGGTACTCATGAGTGGACTTTCCCTCAGTAGGTTTTTCAATTCCCGCAAAGTTTCTTTGGAAATTCCTGAGCCCAGAGCAAAAGGATCTTTGTTGTCTTCTTTTTCCTGAGTTGCTACCGAAGGATCTCTGTTCTTTTCCTCAATTGTATGGGGCTCACACCCATCCAATGCTGCATCGGGTTTTCGTACATCTTTTGGGGTGGTCCCTGAATCTTCCCAGTCTCTCGCTGGATCCAGCCACACAAGATTCTCATTTTTCTTCTCTGTTCCTAATGTCCGATCTTCTAGGCTAGTTTCACATGGATCCTCTCTGCCCTCTTGTGGGTCTACTTCTGAATGACAGTTTTGAGGAGAATAATCTGCTGCTTTCTGCACTGCTGGTGATTCCTGAAGATGTTTATCAGACCCATCCTTTATTTGATCAGACATGTTTGCAGGGCAATAAGCATTCGTTGTATCACAGTCTGCAATGGAGATCTGTTTCTCACTGACTTTGACTTGTCTTTCACACCTTAATCCATATATACAGTTGCCATCAACTTCTTCATTTTCATTTCAAGCAGTGTTCTGCAACCATCAGCAAATATCAGTAAAATGCTCCAGTCAAATGAAACATGCACTTGAACTGCATCACTTTTTAATTTACAATTTCTAAATTTGATCCATGTATTGAATAGATTCAGTTCAGGGTATCAGATCCAAAACATAATTTGTGGATAAATGCAAACCATATTAGAGGAATTTACAAATGATACAAATGAACACCATAGGCTAAAAGAGAGTTTGGACATGTTACTTTTAAACTTTAGCGCCCCCCTCCCAAATCCCCCAGGCAATATGGCCAGGAACATGCTGAGAGGTAAGTCCAGGGTCCCAATCTTATAAAGGATTTCCTGTGATTTATGGACAGAAAGTTTGCATCTTATAGGATTGGCATGTGTCCTTTATTATTAAGAATGTTTTTATTAGAGAGTTTTCTTTTATAGTTTGAATGAGATGGGTCCTTCATGAAGACAGTTATAAATGTGGACAAACATGTTTAAATTTATTTGTATCAATATTTTCATTAGAACTCAATCTTGTTATAATAGCTACTTCCTGACTGTTGACCCTGGAAGTTGAGGAGTTTGACTGTACCTTGATGGCATTTTAAAAACCTGGTAACCTTCCCAAAATATTCAGTGCCAACTAGAAGAAATCCACATAATCAGTTGTTAAATGATGAGTTAACATATACAAATCCCACTGATTCAATGGGTCTACATGCATGAGGCAAATAATGGCATAGGCAGCCTTGGTTAACAGACCCTCTAAGAATGAAGCCTCTTTTAGCAAAGTAATTTTATACCACAGAAATTGAAATTATTAGAAATGTGGAGGTGGGTGAATTCAAACAAATTAGTCTATGGACGCATTTTGGAAATGTTTCTAAGGGATCTCAGGAAGACCCAAAATGTTTTTGTTTACTTGTGTTGTGCTTGGCCGGTCTAGTTGGTCATTTCACGTGTGCATCTCTTCCACTCTAAATAAAAGACCTGATTAATTCTTGCCTTGCTAGAATTTTTCTCATTTACAAACTCTTGGGAAAACAAGGTTTTGAGCATTTTTCTAATGTTCCTTCCATCCTCATTTCCTAGTCAAGTTGAAATGACCCATAAGCTAGCTGAAGTTGTTTTAATAAGGCAAAAGAAATTCACAACCCCCTGCTTTTCATTCTTGGCGGTGAAATAAAGAATTTATTACAATTTGTACTCCCTTTATGATAAAACCTAGATCTTAGTCTAGTCACCAGACAACAAGAAATATCAACCACTGGATTTGGATGTTGTTTTGTTTCTGAATCAAAATAGCCACCATAAGAAAGGTGGCTTCTTTAAAAATTGCTCCTTCACAGGTGTCTCATCTGAAATATTTTATAATGTTAGAATTCTTAAAACTTTATACCATTGTGTGTTTGGTAGCGAGTACCAACAACCAGGTCATTATAGTATTTTAATACATCCAAAAGGTTTAGCGAGATTTTCCTATCAAAATGAAGATGACATTCCAAAATTATGAATCAAAATGAAAATAACTCCAAAAATGTTACAGTGGCAAACTCTCATCAATATTGCATCAGGTGTAGAATTTAGTTGAAGTGGGAAATCTCAGAGAGGGCTTGAAAAAAGAATTACAAGGCAGGCATTTTTACCTTCTGTCTAAAAAAAACCATCTGAAAATCAAGAGACTTAAGGATATGTTTGTTTTTGTTTCTTTGAAAAGAAAATGAAGTAAATGCTGCACATTACAGCAATAAAAAGAACTAATGACAGCCATTTGATGATATAGTGAATTGGACTTAAGCATTGGTCATTAACAGGCTTTGTCTTGAGACAGATTATACTGCTAGAGAGTTTGGGATAATGTGGTCCAAAACTGCTCCAAACATGTAGTAAACAGAGGTGGCAAGTATTCATATTTTAAGGAAATATATTTTACATGGAAGGAACATTTTTAAAAATTACACTCATTTGTGTAATTTAAACTCTTATCGGCCTTAGACGAAAATTGCAGTCCAATGAGATCTATAAGGCCATATAACTCTTACCTCTGCATTAACCTGTTTTTCCTTACAGAATTTGATTTTTTTCAGAAATATGGAACTTGGCAGTCCAATTATGCCAGTACCAATAGTCAATGACAAAACAAAGTGTGCTAAATGGAAAATATATACATAAGGAAATCACACAGTATGATATGTATTCTGACACTTGCCAAAAATGTGCTCAATCTATTGTCTGCTTTGATTAATCCTCCATTTGAATCCCTGTCAGTTACAAGACAGGGCAATTTTTCTGTTTTTCAAAATATTGTTTACTGATGTAATCCCAAGTATTAAGGTCTAGAACAGCCATTCTGAGTTAGATCTAACATTTAAAAGACATTTTCTCTTAGACTGCCTTCACATGATGGCAAAGCATTTGACTTTCTTTAATGTCTGCCTAAAGCTGGATCTACACTGTCAAATAATTCAATTTGAACTGTATTGACCTATGGTCCTTCTGCACAAGCAGAAAATGTGGCTTAGAATCATAATGCAAAATGCCAGCTCTGAGCCACATCAAGGCCACAGAAGGGTGTCCTGAGCTGCCTCGGTGATAGGACACCTGCCTGACAGCCCAGTCATGCCGAAGCTGGTTTGTTGGGACTGGGCATGGGCTGTTTCCATCCTCCCAGCACCACCAATTTCCTTCCTCCCACTTTTCCCAGAGTCCTTTGCCAGTCAGATGACACAGAACAAGGAAAAAGAGACTGCTACCATAGGTAGTTGCTTTTTCTTTCTTCTCAGGGGGGGAAATCAAGGGTGGAGAGGGCAGAAAGGGACTTCTGGCCCACCTTTCTGGGCTGTCTGAGCCCTGGGAGCATGGGATGCTGTGGGGACACAATCCTGGATTCCACTTAAGGATCAGGGATAGCTGTCCCCACTGTCCCAACACAGCAGAAGTTTCATATCCTGGGATTTGGACATTCCTGTGTCTGTTTTTAATCCAGAATGCAAATGTATTAAGCAACATGCCCTGGGTTAAATCACATTAGTTTGTGTGCATTTTGTGAACACGTGGAGGGCAAATGCAACTCTCCACTGCATAATTTGAAAGTGCAGATGCAGTTCTATATAATGTAATTTGAATTGCATTATACAGGTTTACACTGATTAGATAACACAGTTTAAACTGTGTTATTTGACTGTGTAGATCCAGTCTGAATCTTTGACAATCTGAATGTTATACCCATCCAGAATGAGAACAAGTGTTGAAGCTCACAAGTTGTCATTCTAAGATTTGCACTTTTTGTGTATTTAAAAAAAAAAATTTTATTACATCTACTCACCACCCCCACAAATGAATACAGTAGGAGATGAAACCGATGTAATAAGGGAGGTGCATGTTCCCTGCAAATATTAATACTATGACCACAGCCTTACATTGTTCCAAATGAACTATTACTAACACTTGTGTCAGGCCAGCCAAAATGGTATTCCACAGAGAAGTGCATAAATGTTTCCAAATGCTCATTCTCTAGTATCAAGGAATCAAGCCTGTACTGTAGGGTTTGATGACATCTCAATGAGCAGTAACTAGAAATTCAACAGCAAAAACATGCTGACAGATTTTGAGATATTTCCTCATGAGTTATAGCAGCCCCCTTAATCATTTCTAGGAAATATCTTGTCTGGAATTTCAGCTTTTCATCTCCAAATTGAAAGCACTGCAAGTTAGATGAAAACCAAAATAAATTACTAAAAAATTAGGGGTGTGCAAAACGGCACAGAATCAGTTCTGTTTTCATTCTGATTTTGGGTGCCCCCCCCCGGTTCTGTTTTCTGGAAGATTCTTCCTGAAACAGAACTCAGGGTTCTGAATTATGAATCCAAATGCCCCCCCCCCCTTGGAATCTTCCCGAAAACAAAACGGAGAGCACCTGAAGTTTGAAACGAAAACAGAATGAAAACAGAACGGATTCACACATCCCTACTAAAAATGTTGACATGGGACATGATACTTTATAGCAAAAAGATAGATAGACATACAGATGATGATGACAATCAAATTTGGTTAATGGCTAACACTGCAACCTAGCTTGAATGTTAATGGGCATGGACTACTGATGTCATATCTGTTTGAGATGGGCCAGAGTTGGTATGCCAACATAAACTTGTAGAACATCCTGTACCAATAGAAGAATAGTTTATGACATTGCTCTATTTATCCTATTGTGAATAGTGTCCCCTTTCCTCATTTAATTTTTTTTAATCCCTTACTTTTAAACCAAGCGCAATATCACTGATATCCATGTGTAAAATCTTAATTGAAATGCTTCCATTTTATAAAATACAGAATAACATTCATTCATTCATTTTTTTTCCTAACAACTGCACCACTGTATTTTTGCACAAACAGTTAACTTTCCAGTAGAGCGAAACCAGTCGAGTCAGGTTGTTTAGTGCAGCTTTCAACTTCAAAGAAAAATGCTCCTTGCTGAACACTTGGCATATCTAACACCTCACATTTTGCCAAGCTAGCACTTTCAGATTCAAGATCTAAAACAATGTTGTTTTGGACTCACAAAGCTCTTATGGAGCACTGCATGCTGCTCAGCCTCGGAGTTTGAAATCCATCAATATTTTATATATTTACTCACTTAGAAAGAATTTCATATCCAGCCATATTACACAGATGAAAACTAGGACATGGGTGGCCCAGCAACATCAGAGTGTGGAAAAAGTTATTAAAGAAGATGGACATACAAATTATGAAAGGAAAGACATCTGCAGTTTGCTTTTGCTCACACCAACAGGGAAGAGAAAGATTCCATTATCTCTTTTCTTTTCCTCTCTGCTGTTGAGTGCATATAGCATTTACACCTTGAATTCAATTTGCAACAATTAA